ATGGGTAAATATTAAAGAACTAGAAAATTCTCTACGAATTCTCTTATATTGTTCTCATTAATTATAGACCAATTAAAATTGGGATTGAATCCCATGAATACTGGAAATATCAAAGGTGAATATGGGCTCATTCACCTGCCATGTATACCACATAAGATGCATCTATGAGATGGTTACATGTACAATTATTATTAACCCGCAACATGATGTTTGCGAGGTAACTTGCTCAATAATTTAATTTAGAGCATAATTTCCAAATTTTCTATTCAAGATAGTGTATCTTGATAGGTTGGTTTACATTACAACTGGTTTAGCAAAATAATTATTGAGTGCCTCCACTTAATAGCTAAACTACTGCTTATGAGAACAAAGTTATGTATATCAGTTTGATATACGTTATATACGAAAGTATATTACATTCTCCCTTCACAAGTGGTTCAGGGTCAGGAACCAAATAATTCCATCTTATTATTATTGATGTGCGGTGTATATTTTGATTAACACCATAACGCACAAAGATGGGTTCTCAAAGTTGAGGAAACATATTAGTTTTTCTAACATGAAGGGGAGCTATGATAAACAGTTGAGAAAAAGTTACGTGGAATGAATTATCATTTGTATATTTAGATCTTCAAATAAGATAATATGAACTTGAAGTTATAAAAAGATAATTCATTTGCAATATATTGCAAAGCATGTCAGACGCATTTTCTGACCCAAAGAAAGTAACTATATTCTCAATGCAAATGCTCCTATTAGAATATTTCCTAGAAGAGCAAAGTCTATGGTACGCTTAAGGCGTATAGACAAATCGGTTTCACATAAATTTATTGATAAAGAAGATGAGCAAATGATCAAAATGATCATAATAGAGGCAAGTGATCTAGAAGATCACATGACATAATACTTCATAAATCTCATGAGAGATTCAGGTACCTGAATATGTGAATGAAGAGATCTCTATGTTATGTCTATATGAAAATAAGGAGGTTGGATCCGATATAAAATGTTTGTCGACGACACCTATGATAGAGCTAAGTATAGATGAGGATCTTAAGTTTGTCGAATACAGACACAAAAATATTAGCCAAATGGAAGAGAAACAATTCAAGTAGAATTGGTTTCATATGAAAGACATATAGTTTTGCTTATGTTGTTCAAACACTCGAAAGTATAAAGTCAATAGGTGTGTGCAATCACTTTCATGTATTTTATATGTCTAGCATGACATAAAAAACTTGATATGCATCTAATTAAAGTCTATTATATGACTTAACTTATACGATAATCCCTGAATGATTTAAATTGCTTAAAGCATGTACAATTCTTGGTCCTGAAGTACTACATCCTAAGTGCAATTTGTGTACATATGTATCTTGCTATAACTATAAGCATGATAATGTGATAGCGAGAATACCTCTATGGAGATATTGGAAAGGCTATTCCATGATATTATATGAAGACATTACATTTCTATCAAGAATGATAGTTTCAAGGTGCAACATATTCATGCAAGTTAATATGGTTGATTTATTTATCAAATTTCTACCCACGATCTCTTGAAGATGGTGCACAAGATTGGAATGTGAAGACTCGGGGATGTGAATTGATGCTCTCATCAGAGGGAGTTAATACGCGTTGTACTCTTTTTCCCTTACAAGGTTTTGTCCCATTGGGTTTTCCTTGAAAGGTTTTTAATGAGGCAACCAAAAGGCGTATTGTTAGATATGTGTACTCTTTTTCCTTCTCTAAAAAATTTTTCCCACTGGGTTTTATTTTAGTTAAGGTTTTAACGAGGCACATTATCTGTTGAATAGACATTTAAGGGGGAGTGTTATAAATAGAATTTTATCTATGGTGAATGCTTATATTTAGAGAGATTCTAGGGTTTATTACTTGGTGGCTAAGTCACCCTCTCCCTATAAATATAGGGTTCTATTCCATTGTAAATCATCTCATATCAATAAGAATTCTCTTCTCTCTACTTTTCTCTCCAATACTCTTCTTCTTCTTTTATTGTTTTATAACAGAACCCAATTTATAGTTGTGGAAGACAAGAATTTTGATGAAAACAAGCTCTTTCCGGCTAGTCAGTTGAAGCGTGACAAGACCGCATTGATTGGCTGCATTGTTTTCGTGAAATTTTATCATTTGATATAAAATTTTCAACTATATTATTGTGAATATGCTATTGTTTGCTTTACATTATTATCAAATGATTTCAAATCCTCGTAAATGAGGTGTCATTCCATGCCATGCAATCAGGATTTAATTAGTAGTGAAAATCATGTATTTGGAATCTCCAATATAAGATTATGTGATACTAGCAACCCTATATTCCTAATACCTGGGTTCTTGAACTGATTGTGTTGGTCAGCAGTAACTTGCATACAGTGGCATAGCCAGCAATTCTATCAAGGGTATTCAAACTTTAAACAAATCAATAAATTTTGTATCGATTAATGGTATATCAAAATGTTTAGATCAACTATGCAATATTTAGCTAAACAATAAAAATTCTTTTAATAGAATTATAATTTTATAAATCAAATTAAAATAACAAGAAGACAACATATAAAAATTTACTAATAAAAGTAAGCATAAAACCAAAGGAAAGAGAGATTCTGTGTTAGCAAAGAGCTTTTGTTGAAGAAATTTTTGTTGAGCTTGACTTTTAAATTATAAAATTTATTTAAGAAATAACTTTTGGTTAAAAATTACTTTTAAGATTAGTTGTTTATTTCTACACAAATTTTAAGTTTTAAGTGTTATTTTATTAGAAAAAATTTTAGATTGAAAAAGAATAAAATAGACCACATATGGTGATCTCCATTAATTTTGACAAATAAAATGGGTAAATTTTGAATTCGTGAACAATACGTCACTTTGAAAACCTAGAATCGCTAGACTGTCTCATTCAATTGTATTAAGGTGTTCAAAATATAGTACTCCCTCCATTTCAATTTATGTGAACTCATTTGACTGGACACGGAGTTTAAGAAAAGAAAGAAAACTTTTGAACTTGTGGTGTAAAATGAGGCACATATATTTTGTGTGGCTATAAATCATTGCATAAAGGTAAATTGTTTCTAAATAAGGAAAGGGGTCATTCTTTTTGGCACGGACCGAAAAGAAAATAGGTTCACATAAATTGAAACGGAGAGAATATATAATTATATAAAATAATATTTAACATATATACCCAGTATACTTTTTTGGCAAAAGGTGTGCGCTTGATCATCCCTACCTAAGGTTGCTACGCGAATGCTCACACATGTGCAAATAAGGCGTGGAAACATGAAATCGTTGTTCTTTTGGGGCGTACATAGGCCTCTTTGGTTGTCGTCCATGTATATTTTAGGCTCCTATGGACTATGAAGGTCCCATCAACGACAATATTCTGTGGCTGTAAATCAACGACTATGAAGGTCACCTAATAGATGACGTTAGGAGACGCTTTGTACTTTAATGAAATTCTAGTTAATTACAAGGAGGAGAATGGCTTCCAGTAGTTCCCTCTGTAAGTTAGTTTAAATTCAGCAGCTCGCATAATTTTCTCTTAAGATCAGGTTAAAAAAAATTAAATTTAGATACTAAAAGCTACAAAGAAAAAGTACTTAGAAGTAACTTTTTATAAATATCAAAAGTGGCAAAATAACAAGTACAGTATTCAAATATTAGTCAAAGTTTATATAATAATCTTGGAAGGCCAAAAAAAAATATTGAATTCTCCAAAACAGATGAAATAGATCCTAGATCAATTACTGGGCCACTTATTTCATTCAAATACAATGGCATGAAAATAACAAAGCTTTTTTTTTTTTCTCTCACTTGCCTAACCAAGTCATCCAATTGACAAGTTATCACAAAATTGGTGACGCTAACTAAGGTTAGGGTTGTTCACGGTTTGACAGAACACCTATTCAAACCGAAAATCGAACCAAATCGATTAAATAAATCGATATTTTTCTTGATTTGGATTGGCTTTGCTTTTAAATTTTAAAAACCGATAATATTTGGTTTGGTTTTGGTTCTATTATAAAAAACCGAACCGATTAATTATATAAAAATATGAATAATTATTAGCATATGATATAATATCTTTTGGTAAATAATTTAAATACTTTTTGCATTTTAATTATTATTGAATTTTGATTTATCCTACTTATATCTTAAAAGATTGTCTAAGCCCAAAAGAATAGGAATCGACCAATTTTCTTTTCCTTAAGAAAATCTAATTCTCTAACCTACACACATACTTTTTCCTAATAAAAGAGTTGGAAAAAAAAAATCTACGACAAGAGTAAAGAAAGCAAACTCAAATTACAAGACAATAGTAGCTAAAGCTTGAGAAAGTAAACTTTTAGTTTGTTTTTTGTTCATTTTTTCGTATAAACGGGTAAATAAACTTTCAGTTCCGAAATAAATATATAAAAAAGCATAAATTTAGCAAATTATTTTCAGATTGTTGTCTAGTGTTGTTTTACTATTATCGACTTATCATTAGCTTACTAGGAACCGAAAAACCGAACGAAACCAACAACAACCAAATCGGTGGTTTGTATATAATTTGGTTTGATTTTTGTTTTAAAATGTTAAAAACTGATTAAATTGGCTTGGTTTTGGTTTTAATCAAAAACCGGCCAAACCTAACCGTGAACACCCCTAACTAAGGTCAATGTTCTGCATTATATTTAGCCAAAACACTGAGTACTGCGTAATTGCTATCGACATCGTTATAGTAAATTATATTTCCTCTGTTCCAATTTATGTGAACCTGTTTGACTGGGTACGAAGTTTTAGAAAGAATAAGACTTTTGGAAGTTGTAGTCTTAAACAAGTCAAAAAAAGGGCCTACAGTATTTGTGTGGTTATAAAAGCTTCTCATTAAAGGTACAATTATAAGTTTAAATTAAATTATTTCCAAATTTAGAAAGAAGTTATTCTTTTTGAAACAGACCAAAAAGAAAATATGTTCACGTAAACTAGAAGGGACGGAGTAGAGCTATTGTATATTCGTACCATCCAAATTTTTGAGTACGAAACTACCAGTAGCTCCTAAATCCTAATTGAAGGAACTTCAACTCAAGCATTCTGATTGCGTATTCACTATATATACTTATGATGATATAGATTATTCGAAACAGGCAATAACCAGAAGTATTTAAATAGTATAACTCCATAGAGGCATGTCAGCAGCAGCTTCCACATAATCACCAACTTCTACGTAGTGAGGTGGAGGCAGCATTAGTCCTTCCGCCATACTCGCTAGCAATCCCGGCATGCAAAACAAAGCTTCCTCATCCATAAATAACTTATTACTTTCTGGCGTTTCAGGAGAATCTGCTTCTGACTCAGATGGCCGGAAAGCCTCGGCTGCTTCCGCCGCCGCTCTCTGAATATCCTTAGCGTCGGTAGAAGCAGGGATAGGCAACTTCCAAACAGAGTCAGCAAAGTTCAAGCAAGCAGAACGACCCCTTAATGCAATAGCCGCCACGTCATGAGCTCTAGCCGCCATTTCTGCAGTGGG